GTGTGTGTGTGTGTGTGAGAGAGAGAGAGAGAGAGAGAGAGAGAGAGAGAGAGAGAGAAGATACACACACACACACACTGTATTTCAACAGCTATCTCTTAAATTACTTTTGCAAAAATTTTTCTCCTTATTTACTGCATGAACACAATACTATTCTGGCACTATAGGCCTCTTGCATATTGAGTTTTATTGTTTTGAGCCCCTCTGTGCCTGTTGGCAAGCATCATTTGCACAGAGCTCTGATCTACAGTATGACCTTGTGTTGGCCTTTTCATGAATTCCCCAGCTGCAGCCCCAGTCAACAATCAGCCTTAAACCAGGAGGTTGCACAAAGACTTTGTCAATGCAATTGCGGATGGGTATAGCTAGTACAAGGGGGACTGTGAATTCCAGTGTTTGGCATTTGTCTGGCACAGGCACCAGTGCTTGTTGACTGTGGTTCTGGAGCAGGCCTCGGGGGAGAACAATGGGGTTAAGATTCTAAGAACAGATGGAGCAATAGGCAAAAGTTAATGGCTTAGTTTTATGACAGCTGTAAATCCTGCATGTACTGTTAAATAACTGTCAGCCTTTTTATTTTGCTGCTCCAGTAGGGCTATTATTTCAAGGTAGGATGGGAGAACTACAGTTACATGTGTCAGGATAAATATAATAGGGGGAAAGGTATCATAGTCTATTTTTACTGTGCTGATCAAACTGATGTCTGGATGCAACAGTAACACTGCTGGCATAAACAATCTTATATTTGATTGGAAATAGCATCCAATTGATCTGCCACTAGGATTTGGTAATGACTATGAAAATGGTACAATGTAGAGAGAGAGAAGCATCACTGATTCTATTTTTATATTTTTATATGAAATTTTAATATGACTTGCTGAACTTACCTTAGTTTACATTATAGGAAATTTTGCCTGACATATGCATTAGATATAATTATTATGAAGTTCCTTCATATCTGAAACTTCCAGAATATTTTCAAATATGGATGATGAATATTTGCATCTAAGATTGGAAATGCATGTAGAATGTAAATGAAGGACAGAACTTTCTCAATGTTTTGAGGAAGTTCTGTCCTTCCATTTCATTTTGAGTAGTCAGACGTCAGTCAACTAGAAACTCCCTGAAACTATACACACAGTTTGTTTGTGTGTGTGTGTGTCTGTGTAGAGAGAGAGAGCTGCTATCAGCTATATATTTTGTATGCTATAGTTTAAGAGAACTACCTTTTGGGATACGGATGGATAGTCTTTGTCTTCCAGATGTTAGATTACAACTTCCATTATCCTTGACCATTTACCTTATCAAATTGTGTTCACCGAAGTTATCATACAATAACAACTGGTTGGCTACAAATTCACCACCACTATCTTAGAAATTAACAATCAGTTCAGATTGCCAGTTAAAATAATGACATCAAGGTATTGACTATAACATCATTTTAAGTAGTATAGCAGTTTAATAAGGTACAGACATCAGAGGTAACAGATTTAAATATGTGAGTCAGTTGTCAATAATAGTTTTAAATTAAATACTTTTGTTTGCGAAAAATGTTCTAATTTATGTCTTTTGCCTTTTAATGCATATTGAGTATGATCACAGTACAGGTATAAATGTGCATCTTATTGACTACTGTGTGGTAGAATTGTGCTAGATTATGACTCAATATATTAAGTTACTAACTTTTTATTTTATCGTCTAATTAACAGTGCAAATTGTTACTAAAAGAAGGCATATATTTGATATTGCTGCTTGATGCATTTTTGAACTTTCTCAAGCACAGATTGATCTGAGTCATAGGCATCTTTCTAATGATTTTTACTGCTATTTTTCAGTGTTGAAATTAAAAATTAGGCAAGATTCATGGGGCATATTTGCATAATTTCTAAAAAGGATCTAATAGTGGTTGTTTCAATAATCTCCTGGATCTTTAATTCCTGAGTAATGAAACCAGCAGGAAGTGGAAACTTTCAACTGTTCAAATGTTTAGAAAGAGGAAATGTGTGTTATGTGCAAAGAGAAGGGGAGTCATAAATCTTTAGAATTTGGCACCATGGCCTCATAAAATACATTAAAAGGCTTTTTTCTTTTTTTGGTTTTGTTTTTGAGTGACTTATTGAATCAAACTTGGAAAAAGAAAAAGTCTAATATTAGGAAAAAAATGAAAAGTTTTAGAACAATCTATTCAAGAATAAGATTAACCAGCTTTTCAGGAGACCAGTTCTAAGTATAGTAGTGTGGTATAGGCATTAAGTGTTGGGGTAGGACAATGGACATCCAGGTTCTCCACACATGGATGTTGATTGGATGACTTTGGGGAGCGATCTCTCAGCCCAAACTACTTCACAGCGAGTAAGGGGCACAACATAATTTCCCCCTCTTTCACTGGTGTTTCCAGCCCACACCTCTCCCAATTGTTTTGGGGGAAGTCCCCCAAACCTCAGGAACAAATTATAATTAAGGGCGGGATGTAATTTTCTTTTTCCATTCTGCTGATGAAAGCTGTGCTTGCAGCAATCAGGGTTAACTGAATATAAGGCCATTGCTTAAGATGCCTTCATTGATCAGTTTGGGGCTTCTTTTCTCTCAGTGTTCATGCAGTGTGCAAGTATTTTTATAAAAATAATTCCAATGATATTTGAGTTGGGTGTGTTGTTCACTGGTTTATTTTCACACATCAGCTCCGTGTCTCTTGGTATGAAGTTTCTTTTCTTTTATCTCTAAGGAATGAAAGGGATCACAAAGTATGGATGGATGGCTGTAGTGAGAACCAATGTTGAACAGGAACTTGTTTTTTTAATCCCACCTTTATTATTTTTATAAATAACTCAAGGCAGTGAACATACCTAATACTCCTTCCTCTTCCTGTTTTCCCCAACAGCAACCCTGTGAGGTGAGTTGGGCTGAGAGAGAGTGACTGGCTCAAAGTCACCCAGCTCCTGAGTTCTGGGTAAAAAACTGAAAATGTATCTTTCTAAAAATTTGCTCTCACAAAGTCTGACTCCACAGGAGGCTCTGATATACAATGTTAACCATTATGCCTGTGAAGTGAGGGCAGAATCTGCCTGGGTCACTTACAGGGGTTTAGTCTCCAGACTGCAAAACTACTGCAAAACTACTGTAAGCTCTGTCCTCCAATATCTAGCACAGGAAAAACAAACATTTAGAAAACTTTTTTTTTTTTTTAAATCAGAACAGGATGAAATCTGCAGGAAAGTTCAGTCATTATGAGAAAATTTCAGAGAGATCACCGTAAGAATTTTGGGATTATATTCCTACAACATTTCTTTAACGTGCTTTTAAATTTTTTGCTTTGAGACAGAATATGATGAAATTTGCAGCAGAAATAATTCATATCATGCCAAATGAACATGGCAAACTTCAAATAGGTTGAGAGGGTTTCATGCAAAGGGAAGGGGGTTATAATAAATAATTATATCCCTTTCTCAAGGTGGTACATCTATTCATTGAAGGTATGGGTGGGAAGATTAACCCACAGGTCTCTTTTCTATAAACAAAAACAGTCTTTAAACCAATCAGCTAGCTAAGATAATTCATAAAATATCATTTTGTAACTGCTGAAGATGAGAAAAAATGAGGTGGAATGAATAGTAAAGTATTTCCAAGATCTTGCAACCCATCCCAAGTTACCAAGTTATTGGAGTGAGAAATGACTGATAGTGAAGATCACTTTCATTGTAGTGATTGCTAGGGGTCTAATCACAAGGGTCACTCTGAATTAAGGCTAGGTCTGTTGATACATTGAATCCAGTCTTTCTCCTTCCTTTTTTCCTTGCCTGACTACCATATTGTATGCAAGTTATGAAAATAGCAGCAACTAATTCCTCCTCCCCTTCCCTCTCTTCTTCCTCTTTTGGTATGGGTGCTGAGGTGTCATGACGTTTAGCACAGCAGAGGTTTAGAATGAAAGATCAGGACTAAAGTTTTGCAGAGGATTTTGAGCTGAGATGGGGCAGATTAGAACTGCCTACTTGGCTTCCTATAAATCTATCCCAGAATTTGATCTTCTAGATCTGGAGCTCCACTCTAGTAACTTTTAACAGATCAGTTTGTGGTTTCTTGCCTGAATCATAGGTTGATAGCCAAGTTATTTAATTTGGTAATACTTCGCTTCATTTCACTTTCTCCTTAAAACTTGTGCTTACTTTCAGTTCCTGATTTTTTTGTATGGTTATGCACTCATTCTGATCTGTCTTCCATCTGTGATAGTAATACCATACTGTTCCTTGTTATTTCCTAATTTCTTTTTATTTGGGTTCTTTTGCTATCGAGTAATGCTTCTACTTCTCCTTCTGAACAGACTGAATATTCCCGTGGGCTCCTGGTTATCTCAGAATATACACAATTCCTGCTCCAAAGAGCTATAGGCAATGGATAAAGCTTGCAGATCTCTGGTTCATAAGATGTATAGAGAGGTGGACTTTGCAGTCATCTACTAACTACCATGCACTTTATTTACCCCTACCCTTAAAAAAAAAAAAAAAATCAGATCATCGACTGTAGTCCATGCAGCAATGTCAGGGTTTTATAGTTGGAAGGCTCTAGTATTTAACTGCTTTCTAATATATCCTATGGATGTGGTTTATTTAAACGTGTTTTTTGAATAAATGAAAATTACTTACATTTGTGTGACACATCAAGACATAAATCTGGGTTTTAAAATTCAGTGATTTGATTTACACATCACATTATGCTGAAGCCAAAGAAACTACATGCTAGTTTAAAGTGATGTAGGGAATCCTGTTATTGATACTGGGGCATGTTAGGATCTTGCAATATAGACCTGAAGACCTTTTATGGAGTCTGCCTACCCTATAATTAAGTTGTTGTTAATCCCCATTGTATGTTGGTTATGTGCTTTGATTTGGAACTGCATGCATAAATAAATGTGTACAATTGGATTAGTTGGAGAGTAAGTCTGGAAACTGCAAATATTTCATCAACTTATAGATTGCTCTGATTTGATAATTGTGTGCTGATCATGTTGTAGAAAGCTACACAATAATGGCACATTCCCTCTGTGGCTCAGGGATGAATAGAGGCAATGAAGTTGTATCCTTCCACCTTAACTGTCAGAGTTTGCACTGAGACCTTTAAGTCTGAAAGTCCTGGCAATTCAATTTGTACCAGAGCTATAACATAAACTAGGTTAGGAAAAAGAACATTCCTGGATGTGTCTTCATAAGGGACCCAGTAACTTGCACTGTTATCTCATTTTAGAGATGATGAGCCTATACTTTTCCAGAAGTATATTAAAACATGTTTGCATTTTAAGGCATCTGGTGAATGTTCTGTAGTCCTCAAGAGTTCTGTTTCCCCCTTTTTCCTGTGAGAATGTTACACTGTTATAGCTACAAGGTTTCTATTAATTGCTACCAAATGACTAGCTGTATTTCCTGACATCTGTTTAGCTAACTAAATACTAAGTAGTATAGATGGAGAGTTGTGCAACTATAATGCTTAGGAATAAGTGGAGGATAATGGGAGTGATTGTTTCTTCAAAATGCTACAGAATATTTATCAAAACACTGGAGTGCTAAGATATCTCAAAGACGGTCTCTGGTTTTTTTTGGATTAAGTTTTTGCTGGTTGAGTTTGATACTGTATGCTTTTTCTGTTGTGGAACACTTTTTTTATCACAATCCCCAGCTATTCTACATTACTTAAAGCTATTGTGCCATTAGATGCAATTACATATTCAAATATGCTTGGGTCATCATCATGGGTCTGTAATGAGTATATGAAGAGTAATATATTTCAAGAGTCTATTTGGGGTTAGGGATTATTTTGGTGAAGATATTAAAACAAGCAGTTTGATTTTGACTTAGCAGAATGACTTAATGATAGTAGTTTTTCTTCCCTAATATTGGAATATCAGCCTTTAAAGTTGTTTTCTGATTCTTTCTTTCAGAAATTGAAGCCAAGGAAGCCTGTGACTGGCTGAAGGCTGCTGGTTTCCCCCAGTATGCTCAGATGTTTGCAGGTATTGCTACAATGCTCACAAGAATAATCAGAAAGTCTAAAAAAGCCAAGCTATTTCTATGCATAGCAGATCTTTACCTATATTTAACATATGACCAATAGACAAACACTCACTAATTTAAAGTCATTCATGTGCAATAGACATTGGAATGGCCAGTTCCATTTGGATAGGACATAAAGTAGGCAAAGAGTTGTTATTCATGAACTTGGGTACTATCAATGAAGTTGGGTTGTGGTGGGTCAGAACTGTGGAATTTTGACAATAACATCCCTTCCCATTTAGAATGCTACTTCCTACAGATATGATGTAGCAATATAGTCTTGTGAAAGGAAACATTATCTCCTTATCACTGTTGTATTTGGACCCTAGAAAGAATATTTTATTTTATGCAAACTGTATGGCAGGCTGTAAAAAGTTGTGATGGTCTGTCTGATGAGCAATGCAAGAATAAGTGTACTGCACACCTATACAAGTCTCAGAATTCATGGTTTCATTAAAATAGGTTTGAATGAAGATGAGGCTTTTCATTTTATCTCTACGTTTTTTAAACAAATTAACTGGCAAATGACCATACTGGTACCTGGCTACTTTAAAATTACTGGAAGAGGAGTATCAGAAAAAATTAAGTCTCTTGCTTTCAGATACCTTCTTTCTTGAGTAGATAACTCCAATTACTAATCTAGAAAGGAGCAGGTTAAGAGTTCTTCCTATCAACCCCATCCACCCTACATTACGGTGGACACAGATGCTGCAGATAGAAGATAGAAATGTACCTTCCCTCAAGTTCTCCCTCATCTCTTTGGAATCAATCCCTGTATGTAGTCTGAATCCAAAGAAGCTATGTCAGAATTGGCATATCCTAATTTATTGCTTTATCATGAATTCTTTGAAATTCCTTTCCTGTAAATGTTGTCTAGAGGATTAGAGGGATTGACCATCTATTTTCATCTCCTACTCTTTGCTGCTTCAGGACCTTGGCTGGTGGCAGCGTCACTAGGGAATTTATGCTGTTGTTTGTTTGTTTACAGGACAATAGATACTTTACATACGGCACAGCTAAGACCCAGGCTTTGTTCTCAAATAACATTTTCAAGCTGTCACCCAGTAAAAGTTGAACAACTATAGGAAAGAAGGCTTTTTAGAGGTAGTACCCTGGCTTTCCCCTTAAAGTCTTCCTAGGCATCTCTTTAATATAGGTTCAGCATCAGACAAAGAAAAGAATAGATGATAAAGAATTCATTTCAGAGGAATGAGCAGGAAAGTCAGGCCACAGGTTTATGCAGTTCTTGATAAATAAGAGAATAAACAGACTTGTAATTGCATCAAAATAACAAAAAAATGAATGTTAGAATTTACAAAGATTATTGGGGGGGAGGGGGAAATGCCTATAAAGCTAGTGTAGGCATTATTCTGGGACTAGTCTTCTACTATGCATCTCTGAGTAGGGCTAGTAGGCAATAGTAATAAAAATTGAATTTCTAATTTTTAAAATGTATCCCTGTCATAGACTTCCACGATTTCTAGTTTTTCCTGAATAATATACTCTAAAATTCTCATTTGCAGGTACTGTGTCCTGATTCATAAATGCATTATTAGTTCTTTCCAGAGATTTTATCATTTTGAGTCATGTTGTTGTTTTCCTAACTTTGGAAATTTAAACTATAAAAATGAAAGCATAGTATTTGGAACTTGTTTTTCAGATATGCAGTTTCCAGTTGACATGAAAACTGTGAGAAAAGATCATGAATTTTTAGATCAAGATGCGATAGAATCTCTCTACAGGTAAACCTTGGTCTGAATTTCTCCTTGGCTTAGTAATAGATGTCTAGGACTGATAACCTAAGGCTTTAATTAAGTAAAGCACTTAATGAAGTCAATGGGCTATGACTAACGTCTTGTATCTTACTTGTTTCTGTTTGGATGTCTAAAGGAATATGTATTATTATTATACACAATATATGTGTTCCAACTTAGGACATATGGCTTCATTGGACTTTTTTTTTTTTAGTTGTTTATTTATTTATTTTATTTATTTAACTTGTCCCCGCCCATCTCCCCACAATGGGGGACCCTGGGTGGCTTACAACACACTAAA